AGCCTCATCTAATGAACAGGAACCATTCTCACAGCTGCCAAATTATCGAATATCCGTGTCCAGAGAAGGCGTTCAGTTTCTCTGTAGAAAATATTCCGCTTGCATCTCTTTTTATGGCCATCTCATCTCCAGCTTCTCAATCTATTCCTGTGACGTGCCTCTCTGTTCTACAATAAAACACCTTAACGGACTTCTTAAATGGCATTAAACTTAGTTGTTGACGATCCCTCACTTTTGATCTGAGTATATTACGTTCTTTTGGCTGGATTTTTCCAATTTGGCTCATAGCCATTTTTCCGATGATTTTATATTTCTTTGCAGTATGTTGCTCATATTGTGTGCTATAAAATAACTGATTGGATAACTTTCTTGTTTGTCATCTATACAACTGGCACTTCTTCATCCTTTAGGATATTTATTTCCAAAAATCCTTCATCTGCCACCCATGAGTGTCAGTGTGTGGAATTTCTAGCTACTCCCATGCCTTCAGAGATTTACGAGCTGATTAAATACTTCATCGTACGCTGAAATTTATCCAGTGGACCACATTGTTTCAGTAGCCCTCGTCGTTTTGGCGTCGAGCAGTTTGTTATGTTTACGGCCATGTACTGGATTTAGGCATTTTGCGGTACATTACTAATTCAATGACAATCTATCTACAAGTAACTATCCCCAGGCGGCATTCATGCGGTGACTGCTGGCATTTAAATACCTGCACTGCCTTTCCCATTTCCGTGATCGTCCTCTTACCTTACAGGCACTAGCGTCTTAAAATTTTTCGCTTAGTTAAAGCCTTTCATCGAATTCCTTTAAACTAAAGAACTTCTCCACGACGGCTTGTCCAACTTCATTCGGTGTTTTCAAGTTGGGAAGCCTTCTGGGCTACGCGAATTTGCTCCGACATCTTAAAATTTCACCAGTTATGTGCCTTTCTACTTTGCATCCTCTGGTCTTTACTTCGATGGACAGTTTGCATTAATTTCTGGTAAACGTGGGTATCCTCAACACATACGTTTAATTAATGAACGCTTTATCTAAGTCACAATGTCATAAGGCCATTCTATAGGTTTGTCTTCGTTTTTCTAGGACGCCGCATATATATATTCTATCTTCTTTTCACAAATGAGAAGGGTAAAGTCGTGCCGTGCTTTCTTCTCCTACGGATAGATGCCTACATTGACACGGATTGATATATTAACTAAAATTAGCAGCGGAAGCTCACAATGAGCAAGCATTCCCTTCTGACGTACACACAGGAATGGCTATTTGAGGCCAAAAGCAAACTGCCGACTTCTCAGAAGTTAGTTGTATTGGACCCTCCATGGTTTTTGCTTTCTAGATAAATACAGTCAGCTGATAGTGAGCAACGGAAAACTATCATATTTCGAAGCATATAGCGCATTTAAATTTTATACCTGTTGGAACGGTTGATTTTCCAAACAGGGAGAGGCATGTTGAAAAGTGACATTCACCTAGCGTGGTGACATTCGGAGATAGTTTATGCGTACTAATTACTGGCTTACCAGGACTGAGAGAAAATATGCTACCGGATATTATCGTAAACCTTATGATACTGTCATAGAGTGGCTGGCAAATCGCAAACTCTAATGACGACAATGCACATTATTCGGGTTACACTGGTGTCAAACCCTGAGAAACCTTCGTTTACAGTAGTTTGGGCGTGCGTAGAACCTCCTACAAGCTCCATGTGTGCATGGCTCACAGCCATTTGGCTGCATGTACTCGTCCGCGCTCTCTATGCCTCCCTCCCTCTCCCTGTTACCCCCCCCCAACCTCCCCTAG